GACTTTAAAGCGCACACTTACCGCGCATATATTCAATAGTGCCGTCCAGCACCAGGTTCAGCAGAGGGTCAAATCCTTTCAGGACACCGCTGGCTGAGGAGCAAACAAATACACGGTGTAAAGTCTCCATTAGCTGGAAATAAGGACAGCAAATCCCGCAGCGCTGCTTAACTGTTAGCTTGTTATCATAGCTAATCCACCTACCTTCTCGTCCTCCTTGAAACTTTACACGAATCGGCTTATCGATGTATTTGGACAAGTCGAAGATGCTCTCCTTTTTCTTTTTGTCTTTATCCTGCGCAGAGAAAACAAAACACGCCGTTTGTGAGTCGCATGTGTGCTAACAGCTGAGCATGAGCCCAGCTAGCTAGGCTAGCCGTGTTAGCTAACGCGGTACAACAAAAACACGTCATATTACTTTGAATGTGCTGATTTACATCCCGGGTTGCGGCTGAAACACACACTCACGGGCTAACAGCACATCTGACAACGTTAAAGGTGCAAAGGCAGAGAAGTATTTGAATGTACGAACTCACCGCCATGTTAGCTGCGTGACACGGAAGTGAAATTTCGACCTCAAGAATGTTCCACCAATCAAAACACCGAGCGCCTTTACATGACGTCACTGCTTTTTAAAAATGGTTTTATTGACTCTTCATGATTTGATTTACTGGGGATGGTATGATAGGGTGAGTTAGTTTTTATATTATAATATTTTATATTATAACTCACAGTTTTAGAATCAGCATCTGCTTTTGGTACTGACCCCCTTTTCCTTTGCTGTCAGTCGAGGGGGGAAAGTCTATTAATACCACCAGCTGGTGTGTTGCAAAGCAGAGGACGAGGATCCGAGCAGAGCACAGGAGGAGGGGTGGCTGTTTGTTGTGACATGGCTGACAGAGGTGACCATGAGCTGAAACTGCAGAGCTTTGAATTGACGCTTGTATCAGAAGAAGAGGATGAGTCTGCTTCACAGGTGAAGGACTCTGCGGCTGATATAACACCTGATGCTAGCCTACAAGTAGAAGGAGAGATTTTTTATGTCAACCGCCAACATCTGGCCCTGCAGAGCCCTTACTTCAGGGCTCTGTTCTTTGGCCGTGGGTTGGAGAGCAGCAAAAGGCGGGTAGAGATTAAAGGTGTGAGTCTGCAGCATTTCAGGACCTTGATGGAATGTACCACAACATGCAGCCTGTCTTTGCACAGAGAAAATGTTACGGGCATCCTCGAGACGTCCGACTTTTTGCAGCTGGAGCGAGCCAGGCTGCTGTGCTGTAAGTTCCTGGAGCGTGAGCTGCACCTCAGCAACTGTTTGGGGATGATGGCCTACGCCTGGCAGCTGGGCTGCACTCAGCTTTATGCCGCAGCACGACAGGTGGTGCTCACTCACTTCTCCGCTATTTCAGCTGAAGAGGATTTTCTGTCACTCTCAAAAGAGTCAGTAGCAGATCTACTTGCCAGCGACGACCTAACCATCCACAAAGACGATCTGGCTCTGGAGGCAATACTGCGCTGGGTGTCGTTTGACCCTAAACGAGAAGAATATTTCCTGGAGCTCATCGAGCTGGTGAGGCCCGAGTCTCTGTCCTTACCTTTTATCACTGAACTCTTGACCAGAATGAAAAGCTCTGACCCCAGAGCCAGGCTCATCATGAAGCTCAATGAACATTTCCCAGCATCTTGGTCAGTGGGCAGGTCAATGACGAGGACCAGGGCCAGAGAGACCCTGTTCGTGCTGGGCGGGCCTCATGATCAGGAAGAACAGGCGCTGTACCAGTATCACCCGATGAGTGGTAGATGGCAGAGCTGCGCCCCCCTGCAGAGGAAGAACCTCACACAGTACTCCGTGGCTGCAGTGGGTAATGGATGCATAATGAAACTGGCAAAAGTTAGATGTGTGATTATTTTTCATGTGCAGTATTTTTAATATTCTTCAGTTTTTATGATCTTACATGAATATTGAACATTAAATTTTCACTAATTTATTTAGGAGACAGCGTGGTCGTGACAGGTGGCTACTTCCGGGATGTTCTGTGGTTCAGTGTGGATTGGGTCCGGATCTACGAATGTGGGAACCAGCGCTGGGTGGACGGGCCCGCCCTGCAGAAGTCCAGACACAGCCACTGCTCCACAGGGCTCGAGTCAGTCCTGTATGTCCTGGGGGGAAGCATGGACGAAGGTCTCGTGGATGATGTAGAAAGGCTGGTCCTTGGGTCAGAGGAGGGCTGGGAGGCAGTGAGTCCCATGGTCAGGGCCGTAGAGAGGGCAGCCACTGCTGCTCTGGGGTCGTGTATCTACGTGGCGTGCGGCCTGGATGAAAATGGCGAGGTTTATGGTGGAATTCAGAGGTATGTGGCGATGGAGGATCAGTGGGATGTGGTCTCCTATTCTCCATTTCCACGGTGAGTATCTTTCTGACACTGCCGGATTTCACATTCTTATGAAGTTTGAGCTTTCATAATAAACGATACAGGATGATCAGCTGACAATCAAACAGAAAGATTCATATGTTTTTCTTTAGATACGACCTGGTTGCCACGGAGCTCAACAGTGCCCTCTACCTGTTCGGAGGCCGAGCCCTTCGGTTTGACGTGGAGACAGATGAGTGGACGGAGCTGGAGGAGGAATGTCTGAACAAAAAGTTCTTCTGTGGCTGCTCCTCAGTCACTGGGCAGATATACCTGCTCAGCGAGAGGAAGAGTAACAAAGCATTCCCGAACATGGTGCTGCTGGACCCGTACATAGACACCTGCATTGAGCTAGATGATGCTATACCCTGTCCCGTGCCCCTCAGAGGGTGTGTCACTGTAAGAATGATCCCATGATGCTCTATGATGGTTGAACGAATGTGGAAATGTGCAAATCTCTCGAGCTCTTTCTTTATATTTGGTCAGGAAAATGGGGAATGGGTGCAGCAACTCATGCAAACATGAAGGGAAAGTCACCTTTAATTTTTCAGCACAGGCTGAACTCTCAGGCAAGCTTTAAGTAGTCTTCAGGAGTAGTTCTCCAGACTTCTTGAAGGACATCCAAAGCTCTTCTTTTATTCTATTCTCTGTTAAGATGATCCCAGAGATCAATAACGATGAGAGAGCAGGAAGCAGGCGGAAGAGTCTGAGCAGGTGGAGGTTTGAAAGTCAGAAGAAGCAGAATACATATGTGTGAATAAGAGGGAGACATGCAAAGAGCAGTGATGGTGAAGGTAGATCCATTTAAATATCAACCAACCAAGAAAAAGGAGAGTCCAGAAGAGAGTGCAGTCAGGGTGGAGTGGGTGGAGACGAGTGTCAGGAGTGATTTTAGACAGAAGGATAAAAGCAAGAAGCTACAAGATGCTGGAGAGCTGCTGTGATGTTTGGAGATGCTAGAAGCACGCCTGGAGGTGGCAGAGTTACGATTTTAATTTGGAGCGACGAGGACTGATGGAGCTAGAAATGAGTACAGTTAGAGAGGCAAGGCAGGAATGATCTGGACATGTGCGGAGAAGGGATGGTAGATATACTGGACAAGGATGTTGAATATGGAGCTGCCAAGCAGGAGGCAGAGAGGAAGACCTGAGAAAAGATTCATGTAGGACATGCAGACGCTCGGTGTGACAGAGGAGGATGCCGTCTATCACACGGTGGAGTTCCTGCAGATCCCCAACACCACTGGCTGAGACTCAAACCATGACCGAGCCTCCACTGTGTTTCACAGATGGCTGTAGACACACTGCTGCACCTCTCTCCTGACCTCTCCTGTACACACTGGCCACGATTTGAACCAAAAATTTCAAATGTAGATTCACTCCACAAGACTCGCTGGCACTAATTTTAAGTCCAATTTGTGTGTAATGTGGGAAACCTCTCCCTGTTTCCTTTCATTAAGAAATGCTTGTGCACAGCCAGTGAGAACATTTCTGAGGAAATCAGCGAACAGCAGATGGATCAGCTGAAGGGCCAGATGCATCTCTCAGGTCCTGTCTCACGGTGGTCTCATCGTTATTGATCTCTGGGATCATCTTACTCGTTTATGAACAAGTAAATTCATCCAATCTACTTGTTCATAAACGTGACAATTTGCAGTGTTTTGAAAGGAGCATTGCAAAACACTGTGTCACGGTCCTTGTGTGGTTTTTTTCATGTAACTCTTTAGGACAGGACGTTCAGAGGCTGTTCTGCTGTAGACAGATGAACACCTCTTTAATCCTCCACAGATGTTTAAGGACTCGCTGCGCAACATAAAAATGAATGAAAAAGCAGCAAACCTCCAAC